AGAAAGCTGATATCGAGAAGGTCAAAATGGTCAAAATGAATCAGGCAAGTAAGAATAAAAGAGAGAGATCATTTTTCAGCATCTTTTCGCTCACATGACGGCGCATTAGTAAGGGTGGAAGGGAGGAGGGGAGAGCAGGTCACGAGGAAAGACCAAGGGCATTCGGTGGGCAGAAAAGCCAAGTTGTTGGAGCATTTTCAGAAGACTCTTTCTCGTGTACTCAGTCTGCAGCGGCTGCAGACAGAGATGGAATGTTTCCTGGATGGGGAGAGAAGTAACTGGGAAGGGATAGGTGTGGAGGGAACAGACGAGAGTGGGGAATTGACGGCGGTTGTTACGTTTCGGTAGCTCGGTTGGAGACTCGTGAGAGGAGTATCAATGGAATGAGGATGCTTACGGGCTCACTGCGTTCAGTTATGAACTTGTGCTGCAAAAGAAAAAAAGGTAGGCAGTGAAGGAGGGACTTCATTTAGCTCAATTTGAATACAGTCAGATAGCAGATGATAAAATGTAAGGGTATTCAGGCCCGGGTAAAAGTTTTGCAGCAAGGGTCGTGGCAGTGGTAAACTGGTCGGCTATGAGAACTGTCGCAGTAATTCAGTTCAGTTCGGGTTTCTAAGCGGAAGTAAGGTGGGTAGCTTTCAACTTCTTATTATTTAAAAATGTAACTTAGTTATGTCAATCATTGTTTAAAAATGTAACATTAACAACTACAAGCGAGTGCGTAAAACCTGTGCAGAAAGGCGAAAGATCTCTAGTGTTAGTGGCACAAGCAGATATATACATTTTCTAATGTGTCCTTGGCAGAGCTCTGCATCCATATTCAGGTCCAATGTTTTCATCGTTTTTCTTTGGTCCCGAAGCTAACAGTTCTATCTTGCAGGTTGCCGAACCATCCCAGTTAATTATTCCCTTGGTTAAATGAACCACTAGCACAGTCTACATTCTATGTTCTAAGTCATTTTTCCTGGCTTTTTCAGCAAACCATATAGCACACTCCGTCATACGCTAACTTACCTAACTTAATTTCCCAACACATTTACGTTTTGATGCCCTAACCCCCAAAATTCTGTGCATCTTGCAACAAGATTCATCTTATTGACTTTCATTTTGCTTCCTTGGTTTAAATATGCAAGATATGGCCGAATTCGGATTCAGAAGACTACTAATCTGGTTTTAAGTTGATCTGAGTGGAATTATCATCGCATATAGTCAGGTTTCTTCATACTGCTTGCCAAACGAATCCAAATTTAGTAATTTAATGGTGACCTGGACGTTAGTGTAATATTTCAGCAGGTTCGAGTCCTTTTTACATTTAGGTGTTTTTAAATCAGGCATATATACCATTTATTGTAAAGCGTCTGAATTACCTTTAATAGGCTTTCTGAGGATCCCCGCTTTGCAACATCGACCTCCAGACAACTGTCGAGGAAATCGACAAGTTCATGGCTCAGACGATCTCGGTTTTTGATTGTCGGCTTTCCGTTTATTGCGATCAGGTACAGAGCCTGCATGAAAGACAAGATAATTGGGTGAACCAAAATGGGAAAGTCGAAAAAAACTCAGAGAGATATGAAAATAGTAGGAAATGATGAGGTAGCAGTGTCGAATTTAAAACTATTGTGTAAACTAGAAGAGGACTGCTAACAGATCAAGCGAAAGGGATAGTTCGGCTGGAAATTGCAAACAACGAAGACGGGCCGTAATAAAATGTGCCCATGTGCCATGATTACAGGAGGGCATCAAGAAATAGGGCGAATACTTGAGAGTCAGAGAGCCTTGCATTAGCTTGTCGCTGGAGAAACTCGTAAAATGGTTTTATACACAATGAAAACCACACGATTCAAATAAAAAAATCAAGAGCCAGACTATTTGTATTGAAAGTATAGCCATGCTCTGATCTCTACTCCGCGTTTATTGTATAGACAGTTCAGTACCTTGAAGGTTGCCAGGGTGTGGCTTAGAAATTCACGTCAAAATTTCCAGAGTCAGTTTTAGTTGAGAATTAATAGAACATCGGTGAATTCCTTTAAATTAGACCGCTTTATTGGACAAGCCTTTCCGCGGTTGGTGGAGGACGTTATTTAGGGACCCAAGACAATACGTTATCACATAAAATAGACAAATCACAAACGGAGCGCCGCCTGATGAGGGTTTCCAGCGCCGAAGCGGGCTCGAGGGCATCAAAACAACCAAACGGCTGCCTGGTTCTTGAGATATGCTGTCGCGTTTCACGGATATATATATATATATATATATATATATATAT